ATGATGAGGGAGTGATGCATTGCTGCTCTCCTTCATGATGAGGGAGTGATGCATTGCTGCTCTCCTTCATGATGAGGGAGTGATGCATTGCTGCTCTCCTTCATGATGAGGGAGTGATGCATTGCTGCTCTCCTTCATGATGAGGGAGTGATGCATTGCTGCTCTCCTTCATGATGAGGGAGTGATGCATTGCTGCTCTCCTTCATGATGAGGGAGTGATGCATTGCTGCTCTCCTTCATGATGAGGGAGTGATGCATTGCTGCTCTCCTTCATGATGAGGGAGTGATGCATTGCTGCTCTCCTTCATGATGAGGGAGTGATGCATTGCTGCTCTCCTTCATGATGAGGGAGTGATGCATTGCTGCTCTCCTTCATGATGAGGGAGTGATGCATTGCTGCTCTCCTTCATGATGAGGGAGTGATGCATTGCTGCTCTCCTTCATGATGAGGGAGTGATGCATTGCTGCTCTCCTTCATGATGAGGGAGTGATGCATTGCTGCTCTCCTTCATGATGAGGGAGTGATGCATTGCTGCTCTCCTTCATGATGAGGGAGTGATGCATTGCTGCTCTCCTTCATGATGAGGGAGTGATGCATTGCTGCTCTCCTTCATGATGAGGGAGTGATGCATTGCTGCTCTCCTTCATGATGAGGGAGTGATGCATTGCTGCTCTCCTTCATGATGAGGGAGTGATGCATTGCTGCTCTCCTTCATGATGAGGGAGTGATGCATTGCTGCTCTCCTTCATGATGAGGGAGTGATGCATTGCTGCTCTCCTTCATGATGAGGGAGTGATGCATTGCTGCTCTCCTTCATGATGAGGGAGTGATGCATTGCTGCTCTCCTTCATGATGAGGGAGTGATGCATTGCTGCTCTCCTTCATGATGAGGGAGTGATGCATTGCTGCTCTCCTTCATGATGAGGGAGTGATGCATTGCTGCTCTCCTTCATGATGAGGGAGTGATGCACTGCTGCTCTCCTTCATGATGAGGGAGTGATGCATTGCTGCTCTCCTTCATGATGAGGGAGTGATGCATTGCTGCTCTCCTTCATGATGAGGGAGTGATGCATTGCTGCTCTCCTTCATGATGAGGGAGTGATGCATTGCTGCTCTCCTTCATGATGAGGGAGTGATGCATTGCTGCTCTCCTTCATGATGAGGGAGTGATGCATTGCTGCTCTCCTTCATGATGAGGGAGTGATGCATTGCTGCACTCCTTCATGATGAGGGAGTGATGCATTGCTGCTCTCCTTCATGATGAGGGAGTGATGCATTGCTGCTCTCCTTCATGATGAGGGAGTGATGCATTGCTGCTCTCCTTCATGATGAGGGAGTGATGCATTGCTGCTCTCCTTCATGATGAGGGAGTGATGCATTGCTGCTCTCCTTCATGATGAGGGAGTGATGCATTGCTGCTCTCCTTCATGATGAGGGAGTGATGCATTGCTGCTCTCCTTCATGATGAGGGAGTGATGCATTGCTGCAGTCCTTCATGATGAGGGAGTGATGCATTGCTGCAGTCCTTCATGATGAGGGAGTGATGCATTGCTGCTCTCCTTCATGATGAGGGAGTGATGCATTGCTGCTCTCCTTCATGATGAGGGAGTGATGCATTGCTGCTCTCCTTCATGATGAGGGAGTGATGCATTGCTGCTCTCCTTCATGATGAGGGAGTGATGCATTGCTGCTCTCCTTCATGATGAGGGAGTGATGCATTGCTGCTCTCCTTCATGATGAGGGAGTGATGCATTGCTGCTCTCCATCATGATGAGGGAGTGATGCATTGCTGCTCTCCTTCATGATGAGGGAGTGATGCATTGCTGCTCTCCTTCATGATGAGGGAGTGATGGATTGCTGCTCTCCTTCATGATGAGGGAGTGATGCATTGCTGCTCTCCTTCATGATGAGGGAGTGATGCATTGCTGCTCTCCTTCATGATGAGGGAGTGATGCATTGCTGCTCTCCTTCATGATGAGGGAGTGATGCATTGCTGCTCTCCTTCATGATGAGGGGAGTGATGCATTGCTGCTCTCCTTCATGATGAGGGAGTGATGCATTGCTGCTCTCCTTCATGATGAGGGAGTGATGCATTGCTGCTCTCCTTCATGATGAGGGAGTGATGCATTGCTGCTCTCCTTCATGATGAGGGAGTGATGCATTGCTGCTCTCCTTCATGATGAGGGAGTGATGCATTGCTGCTCTCCTTCATGATGAGGGAGTGATGCATTGCTGCTCTCCTTCATGATGAGGGAGTGATGCATTGCTGCTCTCCTTCATGATGAGGGAGTGATGCATTGCTGCTCTCCTTCATGATGAGGGAGTGATGCATTGCTGCTCTCCTTCATGATGAGGGAGTGATGCATTGCTGCTCTCCTTCATGATGAGGGAGTGATGCATTGCTGCTCTCCTTCATGATGAGGGAGTGATGCATTGCTGCTCTCCTTCATGATGAGGGAGTGATGCATTGCTGCTCTCCTTCATGATGAGGGAGTGATGCATTGCTGCTCTCCTTCATGATGAGGGAGTGATGCATTGCTGCTCTCCTTCATGATGAGGGAGTGATGCATTGCTGCTCTCCATCATGATGAGGGAGTGATGCATTGCTGCTCTCCTTCATGATGAGGGAGTGATGCATTGCTGCTCTCCATCATGATGAGGGAGTGATGCATTGCTGCTCTCCTTCATGATGAGGGAGTGATGCATTGCTGCTCTCCTTCATGATGAGGGAGTGATGCATTGCTGCTCTCCTTCATGATGAGGGAGTGATGCATTGCTGCTCTCCTTCATGATGAGGGAGTGATGCATTGCTGCAGTCCTTCATGATGAGGGAGTGATGCATTGCTGCTCTCCTTCATGATGAGGGAGTGATGCATTGCTGCTCTCCTCATGATGAGGGAGTGATGCATTGCTGCTCTCCTTCATGATGAGGGAGTGATGCATTGCTGCTCTCCATCATGATGAGGGAGTGATGCATTGCTGCTCTCCTTCATGATGAGGGAGTGATGCATTGCTGCTCTCCTTCATGATGAGGGAGTGATGCATTGCTGCTCTCCTTCATGATGAGGGAGTGATGCATTGCTGCTCTCCTTCATGATGAGGGAGTGATGCATTGCTGCTCTCCTTCATGATGAGGGAGTGATGCATTGCTGCTCTCCTTCATGATGAGGGAGTGATGCATTGCTGCTCTCCTTCATGATGAGGGAGTGATGCATTGCTGCTCTCCTTCATGATGAGGGAGTGATGCATTGCTGCTCTCCTTCATGATGAGGGAGTGATGCATTGCTGCTCTCCTTCATGATGAGGGAGTGATGCATTGCTGCTCTCCTTCATGATGAGGGAGTGATGCATTGCTGCTCTCCTTCATGATGAGGGAGTGATGCATTGCTGCTCTCCTTCATGATGAGGGAGTGATGCATTGCTGCTCTCCTTCATGATGAGGGAGTGATGCATTGCTGCTCTCCTTCATGATGAGGGAGTGATGGATTGCTGCTCTCCTTCATGATGAGGGAGTGATGCATTGCTGCTCTCCTTCATGATGAGGGAGTGATGCATTTCTGCTCTCCTTCATGATGAGGGAGTGATGCATTGCTGCTCTCCTTCATGATGAGGGAGTGATGCATTGCTGCTCTCCTTCATGATGAGGGAGTGATGCATTGCTGCTCTCCTTCATGATGAGGGAGTGATGCATTGCTGCTCTCCTTCATGATGAGGGAGTGATGCATTGCTGCTCTCCTTCATGATGAGGGAGTGATGCATTGCTGCTCTCCTTCATGATGAGGGAGTGATGCATTGCTGCTCTCCTTCATGATGAGGGAGTGATGCATTGCTGCTCTCCTTCATGATGAGGGAGTGATGCATTGCTGCTCTCCTTCATGATGAGGGAGTGATGCATTGCTGCTCTCCTTCATGATGAGGGGGTGATGCATTGCTGCTCTCCTTCATGATGAGGGAGTGATGCATTGCTGCTCTCCTTCATGATGAGGGAGTGATGCATTGCTGCTCTCCTTCATGATGAGGGAGTGATGCATTGCTGCTCTCCTTCATGATGAGGGAGTGATGCATTGCTCCTCTCCTTCATGATGAGGGAGTGATGCATTGCTGCTCTCCTTCATGATGAGGGAGTGATGCATTGCTGCTCTCCTTCATGATGAGGGAGTGATGCATTGCTGCTCTCCTTCATGATGAGGGAGTGATGCATTGCTGCTCTCCTTCATGATGAGGGAGTGATGCATTGCTGCTCTCCTTCATGATGAGGGAGTGATGCATTGCTTCTCTCCTTCATGATGAGGGAGTGATGCATTGCTGCTCTCCTTCATGATGAGGGAGTGATGCATTGCTGCTCTCCTTCATGATGAGGGAGTGATGCATTGCTGCTCTCCTTCATGATGAGGGAGTGATGCATTGCTGCTCTCCTTCATGATGAGGGAGAGTGATGCATTGCTGCTCTCCTTCATGATGAGGGAGTGATGCATTGCTGCTCTCCTTCATGATGAGGGAGTGATGCATTGCTGCTCTCCTTCATGATGAGGGAGTGATGCATTGCTGCTCTCCTTCATGATGAGGGAGTGATGCATTGCTGCTCTCCTTCATGATGAGGGAGTGATGCATTGCTGCTCTCCTTCATGATGAGGGAGTGATGCATTGCTGCTCTCCTTCATGATGAGGGAGTGATGCATTGCTGCTCTCCTTCATGATGAGGGAGTGGTGCATTGCTGCTCTCCTTCATGATGAGGGAGTGATGCATTGCTGCTCTCCTTCATGATGAGGGAGTGATGAATTGCTGCTCTCCTTCATGATGAGGGAGTGATGCATTGCTGCTCTCCTTCATGATGAGGGAGTGATGCATTGCTGCTCTCCTTCATGATGAGGGAGTGATGAATTGCTGCTCTCCTTCATGATGAGGGAGTGATGCATTGCTGCTCTCCTTCATGATGAGGGAGTGATGCATTGCTGCTCTCCTTGATGCTCACATTATCACAATGAAGCTCAAGTGCTCTCACGTATTCACCTTGATGCTCCTGGGCGGTCCGTTCCAGCAGTGCTCGCCATCTTCAAACGCCATGACTGTGTGCTCCGCCTCAAACCGCTTGAAGTGCCTGCCCGCCCGCCTGCCATGCCACACCACACACAGTTCAGTGGGGGTCCAAGGAGGGGTTGGGCGAAGAGGGGGGCAGGGAAGGGTGCGCGAAGAGAGGAGGGAAGGTAAAAGTGGAAGAGGGATATGGGATGAACACTGTAATGAAGAGTTTGGCAACAGAACGCTCGTTATCAGAACGTCTCGCTCTGATACCCATGGTGTCTACCAGCCTTCCACCCCTTGATTCATTGTCATCTCCTATCACCCCCACACATCCAAATGCCACCATGCTCCCAGCACTGGATGCAGCCATCATGCCATGGTGCCATCATGCCATCGTGCCATCAGGGTGACTCACCCAAGAGTCGTCTCGGAGTGGCCTTCCTTCTGCACCGCCTTCTTGTACGGGCAGATCTCATACGTGTACCTGCTCCACCCAGTGCCCCCGGGCAAGAACACAAGGGTGGAAACAAGGTGTGCGCAGCAGCAAGCAAGTGCAGGCGTGCGATGGAGGAACAGTTTGAAACAAGTGGGAAAGTGACCCGCGAAGAAGGCAGAGCAAAGCACACGTAGGGGAGGCATGCAAGGCAGGCATGCAAGGCAGGCATGCAAGGCAGGCATGCAAGGCAGGCATGCAAGGCGGGCATGGGGAGTAGAGAGAGAGTGGGTGCGGTGGATGGAGAGGCAAGGGGAGGGCGTCTCACTGGTTGGCGTTGAAGGCGAAGCAGCGGTCCACGAGGTTGGAGAACTCCCCGTGCGGCCCTGCGAGGGGCACACAGGGATGAGGGACGAGTGATGGGGATTCAAGGGCAATAAGTGATGCGGAGGGGCACGACGAGTGGGATTGAAATAGAACTGTCTTGACCGTCTGGATCCACTTCCCTACGCATCCGCGTCCTGAATGCCGAGTAAAAGGCTAGGAGAACGGAAACAAGGACGACTGTGTACAGTGGAACATACTATAATTAGGCAGAGGGATGAAGCAGCAGCAGATAGTGGGCAGCCCAGGTGGGGGGGGGGCATGGGGACGAGGCCCGGGCTACCACATGCATGCGTGCGTTGCACAAAGAATACCAGCGCTCCCACCTCAAGCGCATCTCCCATGCCCATTGCCCCTTCTCACGCCCCTCACCCTTTCTCACGGCCCCTCACCCTTCTCACGCCCCTCAAACCCCTCGCACGACGCGTGACAACACAACTGACCATAGTCGCGCTTGAGCTTGTCCTTGAGCACCTTGGCCCGGCTCCTCGCCCTCCGCACCTGCTCCTCCACCTCCCTGTGCTCCTCCCGCGCTGCCTCCACCCCTGGTGGCGTGTGGTGGCGATGTGGGGGCGCGCACACACATGCACATGCATGCACGCACATAGATGCAGCAGAACACACAAAACCACACACACACACACACACACACACACACACACACACACACATACACACACAAAACCACACAAAACCACACATACACACACACTGCACGCACGCACGCACGCATGCACACGCACACACACACACACACACACACACACACACACACACAGCATCAATCAAGCCAACAAAAACGATATAGTTTGCATGCACTTGCAAAGACAGAAGTGGACTGGTGTGCTTCAACCTAGGCAAACATGCTGCATGCACTCATGCTGCCATGCTGCCATGCTGCCATGCTGCCATGCTGCCATGCTGCCATGCCCATGTGCCACTGCTGCCATGCTGCCATGCTGCCATGCTGCCATGCTGCCATGTTGCCATGCTGCCATGCTGCCATGCTGCCATGCTGCCATGCTGCCCATGCTGCCATGCTGCCATGCTTGCCATGCTGCCATGCTGCCATGCTGCCATGCTGCCATGTTGCCATGCTGCCATGCTGCCATGCTGCCATGCTGCCATGCTGCCATGTTGCCATGCTGCCATGCTGCCATGCTGCCATGCTGCCATGCTGCCATGCTGCCATTCTGCCATGCTGCCATGCTGCCATGCTGCCATGCTGCCATGCTGCCATGCTGCCATTGCTGCCATGCTGCCATGCTGCCATGCTGCCATGCTGCCATGCTGCCATGCTGCCATGCTGCCATGTTGCCATGCTGCCATGTTGCCATGCTGCCATGCTGCCATGCTGCCATGCTGCCATGCTGCCATGCTGCCATGCTGCCATGCTGCCATGCTGCCATGTTGCCATGCTGCCATGTTGCCATGCTGCCATGTTGCCATGCTGCCATGCTGCCATGTTGCCATGCTGCAGACACTGACAGGTGTCACGGCTGGATGGGCGGCACAGTGGAATGGGAAATGAGAATTTTGAGAGAGAATGGTTGGAAAGCAGGTGTATGCATGTGAAAGCAAAGGAATGATGAAATCAGGAGATGATAACGATGATATCTGCAAAGCTAGTCTCACCCACCGTGTCATCTCACCCACCGTGTCATCTCACCTGGCGGGTCATCTCACCCCCCGTGTCATCTCACCTGGCGGGTCATCTCACCCCCCGTGTCATCTCACCTGGTGGGTCATCTCACCCCCCGTGTCATCTCACCTGGCGGGTCATCTCACCCCCCGTGTCATCTCACCTGGTGGGTCATCTCACCCCCCGTGTCATCTCACCTGGCGGGTCATCTCACCCCCCGTGTCATCTCACCTGGTGGGTCATCTCACCCACCGTGTCATCTCACCTGGCGGGTCATCTCACCCCCCGTGTCATCTCACCTGGCGGGTCATCTCAGCCCCCGTGTCATCTCACCTGGTGGGTCATCTCACCCCCCGTGTCATCTCACCTGGCGGGTCATCTCACCCCCCGTGTCATCTCACCTGGTGGGTCATCTCACCCCCCGTGTCATCTCACCTGGCGGGTCATCTCACCCCCCGTGTCATCTCACCTGGTGGGTCATCTCACCCCCCGTGTCATCTCACCTGGCGGGTCATCTCACCCCCCGTGTCATCTCACCTGGTGGGTCATCTCACCCCCCGTGTCATCTCACCTGGCGGGTCATCTCACCCCCCGTGTCATCTCACCTGGTGGGTCATCTCACCTGGTGGGTCATCTCACCCCCCGTGTCATCTCACCTGGTGGGTCATGTGGGTTGAACTCCTCCAGCCGCCTCAACTCCTCCACACTCACCTCGCCCTCCTCCCCATCCTCCTCCTCCCCTCCCCCTCCATCCCCCCTTGCCCCTCCCTTGCCCTTATCCGCCTCCCCTCCCCCCATCTCTTGCTCCAAATCCGCTGCCTCCTCCTCCCCCTCATGCTTGCATCCCCATCCCCATCCGCATCCCCATCCCCATCCCCATCCCCATCCGCATCCCCATCCCCATCCCCATCCCCATCCCCATCCCCAACCTCCTCATCCTTGCTGTAGTCCTCATCCTCGTTATTAGCATCCTCCTTGTACTCATCGTCGTCATTGCCACTATAGTCATGGTCGCCGTCATGATCATCATCACCGCTCTGCACCACATCCGGATCACCATAGCCCACATCAGGGGGTGGCGAGCCCTCATCCGCCACACCTTGCTCTGCCGCATGCCCGCTGTGCTCCTCGTGCTGCTGCCCTCCCTCCCCCCCCCCAGTCCATCGGGACGCAATCCGCCGCCCCATCTCCTCCTTGGACAGACCAGACAAATCCTCACTTCCTTCTTCCCCCTCGCCCCCTGCTGCACCCTCCTCGCCTTGATCTCTCTCCTCACTTCCTGTGCCCGTCACACCACTGTCCGGACCATCTGCACCATCTGCACCATCTGCACCATCTGCACCATCTGCACCATCTGCACCATCTGCACCATCTGCACCATCTGCACCATCTGCACCATCTGCACCATCTGCACCATCTGCACCATCTGCACCATCTGCACCATCTGCACCATCTGCACCATCTGCACCATCTGCACCATCCCCACCAACTGCCCCAGCTGCCCCATGGGCTCCGCCAGCCACATCTGCGCCGTTCCACGACTCCTCTGCCTCTGCTGGCACCTTCCCGTCCCAAGCAACCGCACTCTCCCCACCATCACCATCGCCGCCACCAGTGTGAGCAGCAGCAGCAGCGGTTCTCACAGGGCGGGTGTGCGCCACAAGGGCGTCCCTGGCGCGCTGCTCCCTCTCCAACCTCGCCCTCCACGCCTTCTCCCTCTCCTCCTGCTTCTCCAACTCCTCCTTGCGTGCTGCACCCTCACATGCATGCACGCACACATGACACGCACGCACGCACACATGCACACGTGGACGCACACTCACATGCGCACATACGCACACGGATGCACACATGAATGCACACAACCAGAAACACCCACATGCAAACACACGGAGCAGCAGCGGTGAGGTGTTGTGGGGGGGTGTTGCAGATGTGTGGCGGATTAGGATGGTGACGATGAAGTGAGTGGGATTCAATGGGGAGTGAATGGATGCGATGCGAGGGTGCATGAGTGAATGGATGCGAGGGTGCATGAGTGAATGGATGCGAGGGGAATGAGTGATACTCGGTGAAGAAAGCAACGAGCACACGAAGAAAGGGAAAGACTGGGACCATAACGTGAAAGAGCAGAGTTGGTGTGGGGAGGAGCACGATGAGTGCGGAGGGCAGGTCAGGTCGGAAGACAATGGCAAAGAGAGGACATGAGAGGCACAGAACAGCTAAACAGAAACGAGAGGACATGAGAGGCACAGAACAGCTAAACAGAAACGAGAGGACATGAGAGGCACAGAACAGCTAAACAGAAACGAGAGGACATGAGAGGCACAGAACAGCTAAACAGAAACGAGAGGACATGAGAGGCACAGAACAGCTAAACAGAAACGAGAGGACATGAGAGGCACAGAACAGCTAAACAGAAACGAGAGGACATGAGAGGCACAGAACAGCTAAACAGAAAAGAGAGGACATGAGAGGCACAGAACAGCTAAACAGAAACGAGAGGACATGAGAGGCACAGAACAGCTAAACAGAAACGAGAGGACATGAGAGGCACAGAACAGCTAAACAGAAACGAGAGGACATGAGAGGCACAGAACAGCTAAACAGAAACGAGAGGACATGAGAGGCACAGAACAGCTAAACAGAAACGAGAGGACATGAGAGGCACAGAACAGCTAAACAGAAACGAGAGGACATGAGAGGCACACAACAGCTAAACAGAAACGAGAGGACATGAGAGGCACAGAACAGCTAAACGGAAACGAGAGAGACGCCACTGTCAATCATAGTAGCCAAACAGGCTGAACTGAACTAGTTGAGATACAAGGTCATTTGGGACGAATCTACAACGTGGCGATTCCGAGTCCATTGCATTGCAGGCGATGAGCAAACCAAGTTTCAGCTGAGCACATCCAGCTAGCAGAGGCGATTGTATTCCTATGGAGGTTGCTAGCTAGCTGGCTGTTATGGCACATGCAAGTAAGTCATTAATGGCAGTATGTGGTCTGCTCTCTCTCCCCCATTGGCCGATGCGCATTCTACTGGACGACACCGTGGGGCTGAGCAGCAGGGCAGCGGCAGCGGCAGCAGGCACGGGCGATGAAAGCATTGCCAGAGCTGGTGGCCCTGGCAGCAGCACGGGCGATGGAAGCATTGGCAGAGGTGGTGGCCCTGGCAGCAGGCACGGGCGATGGAAGCATTGGCAGAGGTGGTGGCCCTGGCAGCAGGCACGGGCGATGGAAGCATTGGCAGAGGTGGTGGCCCTGGCAGCAGGCACGGGCGATGGAAGCATTGGCAGAGGTGGTGGCCCTGGCAGCAGGCACGGGCGATGGAAGCATTGGCAGAGGTGGTGGCCCTGGCAGCAGCACGGCCGTCACTGCAGCAGCTTAGATCGCCGCCGCCCGGCATGCTGGTGGTGGTGCCGCCTGCGGCTGGCCGTGAGGGCGGCAAGGCAGGGGCAGAGCGAGGGCATGGTGCGGTAGCACAGGCGCAGGCAGGCGCAGAGGGGTGCGAGCAGCAGGGAGCGCAGGGGGCGGTGGCAGAGGAGGAGGGCGAGCAGGGCGAGGAGGAGCAGCGACGGCGGCAGCGAGGCTGAGGCGACGAGCGAGTGGATGTGCGCTGCCATGCCCCGCACGGTGGGGGGGGTAGTGGCATGGTGGCGGTGCCGAGTCGGGCAGCAGGACGGCGAGTGGGCGGCAGCAGGATGGGCAAGCGGGCGGCAGGTTGGGCGGCAGATGGAGGCGATGCAGCGAGGCAGGCGCGTTGCGTAGCCAAAGGGCAGAAAGAGATACGCACAGGACAAACGAACAGGGGGTTGGGTTGGGGTGCGGGATGGGGAGGAGAAAGAGGTGGGGCAGGAGTGGACAAGAGGGCAGGCAGGTAGAATCAGGTCAAGCACGGTGAGGTGTTCGGGCAGGCATGCGTGTGATGGGTGACCTGTGGTGGAGCAACGCCAGTCACCTTTGAGCGCCTTCTCCTGCTCCACCAGCTGTGCGCGCCTCTCCTCCAGGTCCGTGACCTCGCGCTCCCACTTCTCCCTCAGCGCCACGTGCCCCACCACCGCCTTGCCCCTCAGCTTCACGCCCTCCCTCACCGCCGCCACGTCAGCTGCCAGCTGGCTGCGCGTCTCCTCGCCCATCTGCACGCACGTGTTGTTGCAGCCCGCCCCGCTGGCGTACTCGTCCGACCCGTCACAGCAGTCTGATGGCCGCGGGGGAGGGAGGGAGGGCGAAGGGCGAGAGAGAGGGATCGGGGGGCGAGAGAGAGGGATGGGAGGGCGAGAGAGAGGGATGGGGGGGCGAGAGAGAGGGATGGGAGGGCGAGAGAGAGGGATGGGGGGGCGAGAGAGAGGGATGGGAGGGCGAGGCCACAGCATTGTGGAGTGTGAGGTGAGGCATATGGGAGCGGCGGTGGGTGCAGTCACTCACTCACGCAGCCTCATGCTCTTCACGCTCCCACACACCCCAACACATGCCCCTCGAGACATGCACTCAACCCACACGGCATCAAGCCAAGCCACAAAGGGCATCACTTCACAGCGGATGGATGAATGGAGACACATCATCACAGCATCACAGCATCACAGCATCACAGCATCACAGCATCACAGTGCACTGACCGCAGATGCATCACAGCATCACAGTGCACTGACCGCAGATGCCGTCGTTGACTCGCGAGGAGAAGAGCGTGAGAGGCATGTGGCCGCGGTTGGCGCAGTAGAAGCGCGACAGGGCGCACGCTGACGTGCCTGCAGGGGGACCAAGGGTGCGGTGGAGAGAGGGCAGCGTGGAGAGGGGTGGAGGTGGACGGGGTTGAAGCGGGCGGGGTAGGCCGGAGTGAAGGGAGGAGGCCAGAATGGACACACACGCGGAGCCATGGTAACCTGGTAACCCGGTCCCCCCCTCAGCAGCCCCAGTGGTGAGGTGGGGTGCAACCCACCTGGCTCGTCGGTGCCGTCAGCGCAGTCACAGAAGTCGTCGTTCACCCGCTGCACCGCCATTGACCGCGACCCGTCGCGGCACCGCACCTCGCTGCCCGAGAAGTACGCCACGTCTGCCGCGCGTGACACACGTGAGGCGGGGCGCATGCGAGGCGGGGCGCGGCAGGGCGGATGGGCGCAGGGCAGGGGGACATGGAGAGGGAGGGAAAGGGCAGAAACGGGGGGTGGGGGGAGTGGGGAGAGATGAGCGGAGCGACAAGCGGGTAGAAAGGGTGGGGTTAAGGGAGGCGAGCGACAGGCGGGAACAGCGCCGGGCGGCTGACGAAGCCGCGATTCGCCTCTCCACTCCGTGCGATCCCCACTCATTCCGCCGCTTCGCTGTCGCTGCGGGCTAAACGGCTAAGTGGCTACACGGGTCTCGGCGCGCAGTGGGCGAGCGGACAGATGCGCGCGACGCAAGCTGCAGCGACATTCACGTTCAACTACGCCCGCGCTCGCTCGCCCGCTCGCTCGCGCGCGCTCCTGCGGGCTGGAAGGCAGCGTGCGCTGGACTTGTGAGTCATCTTGGACCATGACCGCAGCGCGATGGGCTTGCCTTGAGGGGCGACGCCGCGAATTGACGGAGGAGCGGCCGCGAGCGAGCCGATTGCGAACAACACCAATGCGACGACTGCGATCTCGAGTGCTTGCGGGAAGCAGGCGAGCGACCTTTGCGATGCGCGAAGCAGTGCCATCGGGAACAATGTGAACAGCACCGCCGCGAATTGTGGCGGTCAGTATAAGTCTTGAAATTGAGATAGAGGTGACAATCTGGTCGTGCTGACCAGTCTGGCTGGCCTGCGCAGCTCTCAGAGCGGTGATGGGATCATGGGTGAAAGCTGGAAGGATGCGCGGAGAAAGCTCGCAGGGCAGAGCAGAAGCTGTTTGCGGGGGACAGACCGGATGGCGGTGGATGTGGTGGAAGCGGAATCGTCACCCAAACTACACCATACTCAGTATCGCGTACAGAAATATTCATCTGCACCTTTGTTGTTATGAGTTGTGAAAGAAGAGTATGCACAGAATGCAATAACTCGGAATTGAGTACAACTAGCACAGATATAGCGAAAGGCTAGCTGGGTGGGGTCCGCGGGATCGCGAAGGTTGGGTGCTGGTTCCGGGTTGTCAAACCTGAAGGCGACGTGAGGGACGTTGGCGAGGTCGTCGGACCAAGCCTTGTCTTCCGAAAGTTGGGATGTACGCGTATGAAGTGACCCAATAAGGAATTAGGAAAAAAAAACCTTACACTACCTATCAAACTGTGTTTCTATGTTGTAGGCTATAGTGGGGTACTCTCTACGGGGTACAACCAGGGCTCTGGTTAGGATTCTGGGTGCTCTTCCATGTAAGGTCACTGTCTCTCAACTACTTTTTCTGTCAGTGTGTGCCACAGAATGCACTTTTTCTGGTAAGGGTTGGGGGCTAGTTTACTTTTCCTTATCAGTGTGATCGTAAGAATCAGTTTTTCGCTTCTAAAACTACAAGGTACTAAACAACATTCCTTGGATGTTATACTGTAGCTACGTACATAACCTAACCCTACAACTACCTATGCTATCAGAAATACGAGCAGAAGGTTTAGAACAAGAAAGAGAAGGTTCACTGTTGGAAACAATTAATTGTGAGCGCCTCTGTCGTGTCGAAACACCAAGTCAGAAGCGAAGCAAAGCATATCGAAGCACTGGCGAGTCAACCTTCGGAGGTTGAGCAGTTGCTGGAGGTTACGCGAAAGTCAAAGGTCAGCGACCTTTGACATGACAAGTACAGCACGACAGCAAGGACACACAACTGACTCGCTACAGAGCAGTTGCCCGAGTCGTCACTGTATCGAACCGCAACAGCAACAGTAAAGTAATTGCAACCGTATCCCTTCGTATTCCTTGTACCCTTATATAATCTTGTATCTCTTTGCTTTAATCAATTTACTTTGCCCTCACATACCAGCGCAAGGTGGTTCATAACTCTTCATTAAAAACGCTTCCGCTATTACAACAAGTCCTACCCAAAGTTCAGCCCTGTAAAGATCCTAAGGGCTTTTTCTCAGCCCAACATGGTATGAGAGCAAACAGGGCGAACTCAACTACCATCAAGTTATCTACAACGTCAAAAGGAAAGGAGCTCCTCTAACGGCTCCCCGGGTACTACTCCTACTCCACCTCCTGCCTCTGGCCTACAGACAGAGGAGGGTACGGCAACAAGACCAAGAGCAACTTCTGCCGAGACTCCCGCGAATCAGCCTGCAAGCTTCGATCAGAACATGATGGAAATTTTTTTCTCCTTCATGTCCTTCTACGAGCAACACCAACAATCGGCACCTGCGCAGTCAAACAACAGCAACAACAACAACAACGTGACTCCAATGAGCCTTGATGGTTCATCCTACGCACGTGGAAATCAACAGCAGCAACCTACCTTTGCTCCGTACGAGCCCCAGCGCGGCTCCGTCAGCTTTATGCCACAACCGCAGCCTGCACCTGGACAAGAGAAGACACTGGACGCACTTCAAGTTCAGTCGCAGTTCGCGCACGTCTTAAAACTGCAGACGTCAAGGCCCTTCGACGGAAAGTACTTCTTCACCTGGTCATTCGAGTTCGAATTGATGATGGAAGGCGCGCAGATTCTTGGCTTCTTCGACGGATCCCTGCCATACCCAACACACGGCACACAGTATGACAAACAGCAGTACACATATCAGTCAATGATGGCGTACACGATTCTACTGAGGAACATCACTCCAAATCAGCAGCAGAATATACGGTCTTACCGGGGATATGGCAACTCCGCCGAACTCGCATACAGCCACTTGAAGAACCTGTATCAAGCAACAGACAGCGTAAATCAGAGTCGGTTGATGGCGCAACTGACAACAGTCGAGATGAAACCAGGCGAAAAAGGAATGGCGTATATCAGCCGCTGCCGCGAACTACGCGACAAACTCCTTCGATGCGGTGGATCGATATCTGAAGAAGCCTTCGTCACAGTCGTCATCACTGGACTTGGTCCTCATTGGCGCTCCACTCGAGCTATTGTCCGAGCTCATGGGAAGATCTCCGAAGCAGCACTCTGCGCCGAAATTCACGCCGAGCAGCAAGACATGGACCTGCAAGAGGAACGGCACAAGAAGAAAACATCAGTACCCGAATTCGCGTTTCACACTCAGCGACGCTACAACAACCAAGGCCCGTACCACCGTTCTGCCATCTCTGCAAGACGTCAGGACACCCGCGCACACACTGCCCGAATCGACAACAGTCAATACCGCCACAGCGACAGCTTCGACCTTCAAGCAGCTATCGCCCAAAGTGAGCTGTCCGGAAAAGATACTTGGTTCCTGGATAGTTGCTGCGGGCAGCACATGTGCTCTTCGGGACGTTTCGTTCAGCGCGAGCACCAACTTCAACGCGAAGTCGTCATCACCGTCGCCAACAATCAGAACCTGCGCACACGACGACAAGGAATTGTACAACTTCAGTCGCGAGAGACAAACGTCATTCTACAAATGTCAAAAGTTTTAATTGCGGAGGGACTCGGCTAAAACTTACTGAGCGTCAGTCAGCTGATGGCGAAGGGTATCCATCTCGAAGCAGACAGCACTACACAGGAGTTCAAACTGTATAACGGCAGGGGAGGTCTCTATATCGGGAAGGCAGTGCTGAAAAACAACGTCTTCGTTCTCGACTTCGTCCCGGACCTTGGCACCGCTGACAGCGACGCCATCGTGAACTTCACCTCTTGGACACATCCACCGGATCTTGACCCAGACTTCAGTCCTGGAGGCTTCTGGTACTCGGAAACCATCCCTGAAGCAGAAAGAACAAGAGCGTTAGCGACAATTCAACATTCGGCAGCAGCAGAGACAACATCGGCAGCAGCAGAGACAACATCGGCAGCAGCAGAGACAACATCGGCAGCAGCAGAGACAACATCGGCAGCAGCAGAGACAACAACAGCAGCAGCAGAGACAACGATAACAGCAGTGGCAACATCAACACCAATCGCTGGTCCTTCAACGGCACCGATCTTCGTCGATGACACACCACCGACACCCGCGCAGCAGCTAAACCCGGCACCACGAGAAGTTCATCGAAGCGCCAACTTCACCGCCAGCTTCTACTCCAACTCCGACATGTACCGACGCTCACCCGGACACCGCGCCAGCGAAGAAATCTGGCATGCACGGATGGGACACCCAAGCAACACAACGTTAAAAAACACGATAAGAGCAGGAGTGCTGGACAAAGATTCGCTCCTACTACATGACGGGAGAGAACTCCAACGAGTCCGCGGAACATGTTTCACATGTCCTGAAGCCGACTTACCGCATCAGCCGTTTGTCCCTCACCACAACCCGAGCGCACCAGCATACACACCGCTCGAAAAAGTGTACAGCGACATCCTGTACAATCGCGTACCAGGACAAGGAGCTTACAACTACACCATCACCTTCATCGACGCTGCTACCCGTTATGTTTGGCACCTGAACCTTCCGAGTCGCGACATGGCTTTTGAAGCTTTCGTCGCCTGGCTTCCAGCAGCAGAACGAGAGTCCGGCGTAAAGCTAAAGAGTTTTCAGTCAGATGGAGGCGGAGAATACACCTCACAACGCTTCAAGGACTACCTGGCAGAGAAAGGAATCAAGAGGCTCATCTCCCTTCCTTACGCCCATCAACAGCAGGGTGTAGCAGAAAGAATGAACAGGACCCTTCAGAACACCATGCGCAAACTGCTACGTGGCATGCGGCTACCCAACCACCAGTGGCCCGAAGCAATGGACCACGCCGTCATGCTGCACAACTTGCTCTCGTCATCATCGCTCCCGAACAACGCATCACCGCATCCGCTGTGGACAGGAAAATTGGGCAGCACAAAAATGTTACGAGTCTTCGGCTGCATGGTACAGTACCGACCCCCTCTGCACGAGCCGGCCGATTCTCCCAACGCGCACAGTGGGGACTACACCTGGGCATCGAAAAGAATTACAACGCATGGAAGATTTTTGACGTCCATACCAAGGAAACAGTGGCAGCACGTGATATGATTTTCTACGAACGACTCACTCTCGACTCCTACCTAGCCAACGTGGAAGAACAACGCGACCTCACCAGTGG